AAATCAGCATGAAGGGGAGAGGGACCACTCTGCTTGTCTTTCACAGGAATAACTCATTAAGCCTGAGCCTTCGGGGAGGGTGGGATATAAATCCAAAAAATAAATTAAATAAATTTAACAAATTAAAAAGTTGCTGCCATCCAAGACATTCAGAAGGGACAATGTGTGTCCACAACTTTCACTAGGGGCTCTGAGCCATCGTCACTGATACATTGGTTCAAATTCTGAAGGTACAATAAGAAGTATCCTAAGTTAGGCTGGAAGAAGTTCCTCCAGCCCAACTTAAGTGGCTTTTCTGTTGGTGGAAGAGTCAACCTAATTTGGAGGGGGAGTCCTTAGACTGGACAAGAGGTTTCCAACTTTGCTCAGCAGAGTGGCAGGACACATACCTGTGGTTGGCCACAAATGCAGAGTGATTCATTCCTGAGGAAGGCATATGCTCCAGGTCAAGCTCTCATAGACTAGAGCCCTCTTTGTCTTATGTGCTGCTGTACCTTGTTTTAAATGTTCAAGACCCTGTTGGTTTCATCCTTCGTCTAAACATTGCAAAACCTTTCCCGCAGAAAGATAGCCAAGACAGAGCAGAGACATAATTTGGAATCAAATTCATTTACTGATTGTTCTCATGTCAAACAGTCTCAGATTTGCGAAACTCATAGAAATCTAACCGAGTGGTACTATTCTTCATGTGTAATTATTTTCAAAGTGAGATGCTTATTTTTTAAAAATACTGATGCTCCTTCTCCACTGTAAGTTCAGTCTACGTGTGAACAGTCTTCTGTCTGGTCTTATCATGAGGAGAACATGATGCCCTCGATAAATAAGTGTCCTCTTGAATTGGCCTCAGGTCCACCTTTGCTGTCACAACCTCATGTGGCTGACCTGCAAACGCTACAGAAGCAACCAGAACTGGCAACAGCCTACAGGGCTCGGCCAGACACACACAGAGGGCACGACATTCCCCGTATTTACTGACTGATTTGAACATTCTGGCCGCATCTTAACTCTTGTGCCAGCTGCAGATGGTTTTGCTTCTTCCTGACTGGCACCAGACACTTACATTTTAGCTGTAGTTCATTGGTATATTGTTGCGGCTTGCAAGCGGCAATATATCCCCTCTTCCATTCCTAATCTACATTAAAGAAGCAACATTTTATATTGCCAAATTTTCTGAATTATACATATGTGTAATCATAGCTTTTTTGTGTGGTGGTATTCACTGGTACTGAGTGCCAGTAGCTTGGATAGGTAAGCTTACTCAGGGGTCATTTTGGGGGGGACGCGGGGGGACGTCATCCCCCCGGGTGAGGTGCGGGAGGGCGGGGCCTGGAGTTCCCTGCTGGTGCCCGCTGGAGGTCGCCGCCGGCTGTGGGGTGGACACACTTCCGGTGATGTCAGGGGGTGTGGCATATGCTAATGAGTTATGCTAATGAGTCCCCCTAGCTCTTTTTCTATGAAATGACCCCTGTTAATTACACATATATACAGTCCAGAAAATCTGGCAATATAAAACCTCCCTGTCAAGAAAAGACCTGAGACTGCGTTCCCCAGCCATACTTTTATCCCGTCATAGGACGACTTGGAGCCCAGGTTAAAAGGCACCACATCACAAGTGTTCCCTGCGCAGTTGTTGTGCATGGCCAGATGTCTGAACGTGGGGGGGGGCGCCCGCAGAACGGATTTGGCAGCCTGAACCTGCAGATCCCGTCTGCCGCTAGGGAGGTGTTTTGGGTTTTTTTTAATTGCCTATCTGCGCATGTGGGGCAAACTTGGCCCAAGGCCTTCTAGTTGGCAGCTTCTGTGGTGGGTTCTTTCTACCTCAGGGAACAACTAAATGTGTAAATAATACTATGTAGCCATTTAGGCTATGTAGGCTACATAATGCTATGTAGCTGTTTAGGTATTTTTATAAACATCTGCCTCTTCAGACAAATCCAGACTCTTAAGCTTTTAAGAAAAGCATCAACCATTTTGTATTAGAGTGCTGCATGATATGGAGCTGCGGTGGCTCAAGTGGTTAAGACGCTGCACTGCAGGCTGTGGAAGGTCGGTAGTTCAGCAGTTTGAGACCCGGGTTGCCACATGATGGAGTGAGCTCCCGTCTCTAGTTCCAGCTCCTGCCAACCTAGCAGTTCGAAAGCAAGAAATTGCAAGTAGATAAATAGGTACCACTTCAGTGGGAAGGGAACAGCGTTCCGTGCGCCTTGGTGTTTAGTCATGCCGGCCACATGACCACGGAAACGTCTTCGGAAAGCGCTGGCTCTTCGGCTTTGAAACAGAGAGGAGCACCGCAACCCTAGAGTCGGACTCAACTGGCTTTCGAGCAAGGGAACCTTTACCTTTACTTTACTGCATGATAACCCTTTCCCTCCGCTACCCCAGCCTCGTCTCTTGCCCGGCCTCCTCTGTGCGTGTGTGTGTGTGTGTGAATTTATCTGTTCATGTCATCTTCCGTTTCCAGCTCCTTTTTCTTCTGAGAAGTTTCGTCAGTATTGTTTTAAGCAAGTATTTCTCAATTTAATTAAAGAAAATATGTGTTCGTGCCAGAGGCTGCTGAAGTATTGAAAGCTAGCATAACCTCCGTAGGTTCATGACTTCTTTTGGGGGGAAACATAAACATTCCTATCACATAGAATTACTGATTCCCAGGATCGGCTGCACAGATGAGCTGTTTGGGCTCCCTCCCTCCCCTTTCCTGCTTTAGGTGGTATTAATGCAATAGGGCCCATTCCTGTGGGAAAAGGCATTCAATGGCTATTTTAATAAACAAATAATAGATTTCTGTGAATTAATGCCATGGCTGCTTATTGATAATTTTTTAAGTGAAAACTTAAAACTATCAGGACATTTTTTTTTTCATTCACAGGACGCATTTGTGGAGTTTTGAGTGAGGATTTAGGGTCAGGGTGCCAGCCGTCCATTCAGTCAGTCATTCATAACCCCCCCCCCTTTCCTCTTGGGTCAAGGGGGCTTGATTGCCTGTTGTTTGCCTGTAGTTAAAGGATCAAATAGTTAATCAAAATAAGTTAAATATTCCTGTTAAAAATGGTCAAATATTCCTTTCAGGCACTGTATACGTGGCGTCTTCCTTTTCATATCATTATGGTGCCATTTGCAAGCATTGGCCAAAGTGGGCAAACCTAATAGTGTTGTAAAAATTTCTCTTCTTGGTCACTTGCATATAATTGCCAATATCTCCAAGGAGGAAGAACTGGCCTGTTGTATATTTAGCACAGTAGCCTGAAAAACTGTCCTTTGTCATTAGTAGGTGTTGTTACTTCACTTCTTAATTTTTATTTTGTACCCGTAGGCTGATTCCTACTGCTCGAGCTTAGAAGCCAAGGAGAACTGTTCACTCAATCATTTACAATGATAGAAAATGTACTAAATGTGGTTTTAAAATAATGATAATTCATTACTGTTTTCAAATGGTATCTTCATTGTTTCACAGCCTACAGTTAACTGTTTTGTCTTATTTGTTTGTTTTGCAATTAGCCTGAATAGCAAACCTGTTGATGAATTTTTGGTGGGAAAGGAGGGGGGAGATGCAAAGTGCTCACAGGCCCTCCTTCAGAAGTCCAATGTTAGAAAGGCTTTTGCAGATGAAGTAAATAAATTATAGAGCAGGCTGAGGGGAGGGGAGCCACCATGCTGTGTCCCTTGATATATTTTTCAAGTGCGTCTTGATTTTCTTCTATGAACAGCAGCAGGATATCCAGCTCCAGTGTGCAGAGACAGTGGCTGTGGTCACACGCACTAAAGAATCCACTTTCACTCCACTTTCCAACTGGGTTTTACTTGTGTGAACTGGCAAAATCCAGTTGGAAAGTGCATAGAAAGTGGTTTATTTAGTGTGTGTGACCGCAGCCATCATGTTGTATCCAACCAGCTTTTTCTGCTAGTAAAAAAGAAGGGATGAGCCCCTTTGATCATAGGGTTGCAAGCCCCCAGGTGGGATCTGGGGACCCCCGGGAATTACGGCTCATCTCCAGAGTACAGAGATCAGTTCCCCTGGAGGAAACGGAGGGTGGGCTCTATGGCCTTGTTCCCCACTGAGGTCCTTGTGCTCCCCAGGCTCCTCCCCCAAATCTCCAGGAGTTTCTCAACCTGGATCTGGCAACCCTCCCCCCCATCTCCCCCCCATCCCCCGCCGGTCGCCAGGGGGGACCTGACAAGCCTCTTTGATCATCAAAAAAGGTGATGCTAAAAAAAAAAGTGATGCTGTGGATCATGGGACCTGCATGTACAAAAGCCACGTGGGGTGGGAGCTGTGGTAAGGGGGTGAATTGTCAGGGATTTAGTGGAAAAGCTGGCTTGATCCAACTGATTGCTAGGGCATAACCCTAGAGCAGTGATGGCGAACCTTTTAGAGACCGAGTGCCCAAACTGCGACCCAAAACCCACTTATTTATCGCAAAGTGCCAACACGGCAATCTAACCTGAATACTGAGGTTTTACTTTAGAAAAAACAACTCATACACTAATTTAAGATAATCCAAACAAAGTAAGGAAAGCAATCCCAAATGATTTCATTTACTTACAATTATTTGGCAGAGAATTCGACACTTTAATGGTGGTCTGGGCCTGGCTGGGGCGATGGTACATGTGCCCACAGAGAGGGCTCTGAGTGCCACCTCTGGCATCCATGCCATAGGTTCGCCGCCACCACTGCCCTAGAGGAACTGTTGCTATTGTTCCATGTTTTAATCTGCTCATTTTGCTCTCCTCTCTCTCTTACACAGTGTTGAGTATTCGAGGGGCTCAAGAGGAAGAACCAACAGACCCTCAGCTGATGCGCCTGGACAACATGCTCTTAGCAGAAGGGGTAGCGGGACCTGAGAAAGGAGGGGGTTCGGCGGCGGCGGCAGCGGCGGCGGCAGCATCTGGGGGTGCCGGCTCAGACAATTCTGTCGAGCATTCCGACTACAGAGCGAAACTTTCTCAGATTCGACAGATTTACCACACTGAGTTGGAGAAATACGAACAGGTACCAGTCTTGTGCGTGGTGCTATGTCTCTTAGCACAGCAGAGGCAAAAAAAAAACCCGGCGTGGTCCCATGGATGAGGGGGTAGGCCTGATTTCCACTTTATCCGTTGTGTTGTTGGCCACGATTTGTATGCATTCAAGTAGAACCAACAGTGAAAGAGAGAGATCCCCCCCCCCCACATTGTATACTTCAGACTGCAATGTTGTGCTTACAGTTTTCATCGCTTCCCAAGGAACAGAGTCTCCCGGCAGATAGAAAGAGCATTTTGAAAGAAGGCTGAGTGGGACCCTTCTCTTTGACATTCTAATTTTCTATGGGCAGGTAGTTTAGGTCATGGAAAAAATGTTCCAGCAGATAACCGAGCTGCCCTACTTGATGCAAAATGCTTAATTTACCTGTGTTGGTAGCAGGCAGGAAGAATTTACCAATCTGATCTTTAATATGCTCTCATTTAAGCCGCACTGCTATCCGTGCTGGGCCATTGGGTGTGCAACATTAGCACACCAATACAACATTTACCCAGGCAATGGGATCTCTGGCGTCTGGAGTGCTAACAGCACATACAAAGCTGCCGAGAGCCTGAGTTAAATGAAGCATTGGGTGCATGAAAGGTGGCATGATCCAATAGCATCACATTTCAATCAGGCCTAACCTATTCCGTTCCAAGAAAAGCTTTACCACTTCAGTTAAACTGGGCCTTAGGTGATCCTGGACAAGATGTCAGCTCTCTGCTATGAAGCCAATGATGGCATAGCGGGAGGTGTGGGGGTCTTAAACTTTCTCTTGAGGACATTTTGGCTCTGATATCTTTTACTACCTGCGCATATGCACTGGACACATGACTTATTCCTAAGAGGCCTCATAAACATTCCTGTCTCGTGTCTATTCATCTTGCTTTGGAACATTCCTTTTTTGGTCCACTATTGACATATTCTTTGCCAGTTCTTTGTAACATATGCGTATTTGCACTTCAAATTGGTTGACCTCTGAAGAAGGCCTTATTGGGCCAAAACGCATTAGGTCACAATAATTGCTCCTCGTGTGTATGTCATTTGTGCTTTGTAATGGGGCTTTCATTGGGCCCTTATATGTTTTTTTTAACTTTTCTCAAAATAAATACATGTATTTTTACTTACAACAAGTATATATGAGGTTTTAACTATTGGCCCTCTACTAGGTTTCTTTCTTACCTTTTTGGTTCTTGACTTAAACTAAGTAGACCTGGGCTCACATCCCCTATTCAACCATGACATGTCCTGTTTGGTCTTAGTCACAAGCTCTGGCACAGCTGTTCCTGAAAGAGCAGTTTGTGTCAGAGCTCTCTCAGCCCCACCTACCTCACAGGAGGGTGTCTGTTGCGGGGAGGGGAAGGGAAAGGAGTTTGTAAGCCGCTCTGAGACTCCAAGTGAAGGGCGGGGTATAAATCCAATCTCTTCTTCTTCTTCTTAGACTGGTCACTTTTTCTTATCCTACCTTATCTTAGAAAGAGATTATTGCATGAATGTCAGGAATGGCCAAATGAAAATAAGAATGTGATCAGTCTCCAGCTCAAAAGGTGTTTCTGTGGATTTATTAGATGTGGAACATTCCTTGAGGCAAGCTGTATTTCTAAATATTTTTAAACAGCTTCTCATTGGTCCCCAAATAATGCCGTGGGCCTGATGCCTCCAATCCAAAACACTAGTGACTTGAGTTCTCTCTTACACGGGACTCTGTGTAACATCCAATTTCATTCCACCTCTTACTGAAGGAGAGGAGAGAGAGAATGTGAGCATTAATTAGCCAGCTTGTCCTGGACTTGGTATTCCTTGAGTGCCTAACCTGGCCAGAGGTTCTCACTGCCTTCAGACCACAGCTACATCACTACTACTAAATGTGCTTTATATGGTGTAGTCACATGCCTGTGGCGTGTCTGAGAGCCAGTTTGGTGTAGTGGCTAGGAGCGCAGACTCTCATCTGGGAGAATTGGGTTTGATTCCTCACTCCTCCACATGCTGATGCTGGTGTGACCTTGGGCCAGTCACATTTCTCTCAGAGCTGTTCTGGAAAGAGCTCTCTCAGCCCCACCTCCCTCACAGGGTGTCTGTTGTGGGGAGGGGAAGGGAAAGGAGATTTTAAGCTGTTCTGAGACTCCTTTGGGTAGTGAAAGGCAGGGTATAAATCCAATCTCCTCCTCCTCCTCCTCCCTGGCACAGCCTGAAGCGAAATCAGAACACAGTTCTCCTGCATGTACACTGAATTCTCTGACTTACTCTCAGAACATAAAAAAGTGTGGGGAGATGAGAAACCAGCTGGTTTGGCCTGTGTCGCAAGTAGATCTGCCTACAGCCATTTTAGGGTTTGGGAAATAAGAAGTTCTCAACTTCCCACTACCTAGCCTTTGGGCAATGAAAAGTACACAGACGGAGAGTGATTTCAGCAAAGCGTACTTTATTCAAACAGGAACAAGACGACTTTGGCCGGCTCACAGGCCGGCTTATATCCCCCGAGAAACCGCCACCCAAAACACACCCCTACTTCCCAATAGGTTATTTACAGTGGCCGAGAGTCCCATAGGCTCTTGGCCGGGAACCTAGCCCCCTGATTGGAGCGGGCTAGGATCCGCATAGTCCATTGTCTCTTGGAGTGAAGCTCGACGTTTGTGTCTGACCGCGTGGAGCCTGAGCCAGCCACGCGGTCTGGACTGGATACATTACACCAATCTAGTTGAATAACCTGCCCTCTTTGCTCCTCACCCAGGCTGACCGAAAGGCTGAGGTATGCAGTGAAATCTCAGTCAGACTTGGCCTGTGGCTAATCAACAAGAGCTGGGCCCCTAGAAACCTGGAATGTGAACTTCTGGCAGCATTCTGCGTTCAGCATCTTTAATCTCAGTTGTTCTCTGTTTGCGCTTTTCATGATGGGAGCCATGATGGCATTTTCCATCTCTGTGGCTATAATCATTATTACTAAACATGCATCTGAAGCTGTCCTATACCAAGTCAGACCTTCATCCATCACAGTCAGTATTCACTACCCTATCTGTCAGAGGCTCTCCAAGGTCTCGGTCAGGGGTCTTTCAAGTCATCTGCTACCTGATTCATTTGCCTGGAGATGCCAGGGATTGAATCTGGGACCTTCTACGTGCAAAGCAGATACTCTGTCACTGAGCCATGACCCTGTCCTATCATTGCCGGACACGCATCCAAATTTGCTGGAGGCAGGTGTCCTACTTTGCACTCTGAATCAGTTGGTCTGCATCATCCCTGAAAGCTGGTGAGAGCTGGTCTGCTCAACTGCTGAAGGACCAAACGACACGATAGGTTTTTAAAGGAGTTGAGTCTGGGTTCCCTTGCAGCCACACAGTAGCTGTGGGGAATGTTTTTTTTAACAAAAAACAACAACAACACCAAGCCATTGTTTCTTTATTCTATGGTAAATTTTGACAGAACGTTTGGTAGAGATCGGTTTTAGGCATAAGCAGGGGTCATTTGGTAGAAAAAGAGGTGCAGGAGCTCACTAGCACAACTCATTAGCATAACTTATTTGCATATGCCACACACCCTGACATCACCGGAAGTATGTCAGAAGGTAACACCCACTGCTCAGGCTCCACTGGACTGTTTTGGATTGCTAGCTATTGGGGGGGGGGAAGAAAAGTGCAGATATGCCCTCACAGAGGAGGGGGAGCTTCTACCTGAATAAAACTTGGTCTTAAGGGTGCCACTGGACTGTTTTGGACCGGGGGGGGGCTCTGCAGCTTACCTGGCTGCTTCTTGCTCTGGCTGAGGGCTGCTGGGAGCAGGGGGTGGGGCTTGTTGCATGTGCCCGCCCCCTGGGCTCTTTACTGCCGGAGCTCCGCTCCTGTGCGCTCCCGCAGGAAATGACCCCTGGGCATAAGCACTCTCAGATTATTCTATCCTAGCCAGCCTTCTTAAATCCTTAATCGATAACTCAGATAACAATTACACAACCATACAACCTTATAACTTTTTCATTAGTGTTTTGTTTTACATCACAAAACACCTGTTTTTGAAACTTTACCTTAACAAACTGAATCTCATGAACTAAATCCCATCTGATGGATACAGGAGGCTATAATAAAAAATAATTTGTCAAAAATACAGCATATTCCAGTAGAGTGGATTATTAGGGAGAATGCCTCTATCTGACATGTAGCTGAGCACTGGAAACCAAATTGCAGCCATCTTTTCCTCATACTGGTCTGCTAGAGAATCGGAGGGGGAGTGTTATTTTTAAACCCTCCAGGACCCGGGTTCAGCTTGGGACTGTAGCGCCTTCCTCCCCGCACCATTTTTACTGAAGTGGCTTGGCCCCAGTGGGGAGTTAAATGCATATATTTTGGGCTCCATGTGACATATTCCAAGCATGGTCATTGGCTGATAGTGTTTTGACTTGGGGCAGCTAGAGCACTGACCAGTGAAATAAGGCAGAAAACCCACCCCCGTATAGGAATGTGTGGCCCTAGTTAGGGAACAATTGTGATTAGCACCTGCCTGTAAGCCGCTCAGAGACCCCCTGAAAAAGGGGGGTTCGAGCGGGTTATAAAGTCGAAAGTTAAATAAATAAATAAGCACCACGGAGGAGCAACCGCGATGGGAGGGGGAGCTCCACCGCTTTACTGGTGGGCCCGTGCTGGAGGCAACCTAGGAAATAATGGCGATGGGCTCCGCTTCCTCTTAATTGCCGCTAAGGAGCAAGGACGGTTTACTGCTTTCCAGACGACCTCCCTAACCACGGCTATTTGCTGGCGACTCATCCGGCACCACCGCCCCTTGTCTTGGCAGTGCAACCTGCTTAGCCCATTGCCCTCGGTCACCCACGCAGTGCCTCCTGTGGCTAGCCAGGCAGCACCTCCACTTCTGTTGGAAGATTGCTGATCCAAAATAGAGTCGTGCAGTTTGGAGGGGCATTTTTATTACTAAAACTTCATTTTTATTAAATTTGTTATGTGTGTTCATGTTGTGAACATCTCTTGCTTTGCTGCAAAAAAAAAAGTGGGCAATGGCTAGCCCTTGAAACCCTCAGATGGTATAATGAGCGGAAGCTGGTACTTGTAACCCTTCAGGAAGACATGCAGTCATGCATTACAGGCATAAGCCTGCATTTGGCAGCTAAAGGAGGCAAGCAGTGTTACCCAGTGGTCAGTGGCCCACATGTATTACTTCAGTGAAAGCAAAACAGGAAGCAGTACAACAGGATGGGCAGAAGGAGGAGTTTGACACCCCTCTAAGACAAGGAAGTTAAAGAGAGGACACTGTCAAGCTCAGGCTTAACTTTCATTTCCTTAAGTTCTGTTTTTCTTCCCCTTCGCTTGTCATGTTGAATTCCGGGGCGGGGGGTGTTGTGAGAGCGCATGGGAGTAGAAGCCATAATTATTCCTGAAGTTGTGCCCCAAGTGTTGGTTCTCATGGGACTGACATTGGTGAATCTTTGTGCCATGCCTAGGTTAGATAGGGCACCCTATAGCTGTCCATGTGGCCATAGAAACACTAGGGGGGTGGATGTGGGATTTTATGCTTTTTCTTCAGTCCTAACAAGAGTTCTTGAACCTACCAGGTAGTGAAGGGCGGGATATAAATCCAATCTCCTCTTTTTCTTCCTCCTCTACTTCCAGGAAGACAGGCAAGGCTGTTTACATTACAAAAGCTGCAAGCTGCAAACCACTTCGGAAATCTGTTGCTTTGAAAACCCTACGAGGTTGTCCTAAGTTGGCTGCAACTTGATGGCAAAGAAAAAAGAGGGGGGTTGTAGAGGGGGTGACAGGGAGGACTGGGGGATGTCAGCAAGGTGTAGATGCCGTTGGTTTGACTGAAACCGGACAAGAGACTGACTGCTCATTTATAATTATGCTTGTTTGACACAATATGGCAGACGATAAAAACAGACCTTATCTGATGTACAGATCTCTTCTCTATTTCTCTCTCTTTCAGCTCAGTCCAAACCAAGGACAATACTTCTTAACGGCCATGTCCTCCAAACAAACTTTCCTTTTTGCCAGCTGTTGATTTCCATTCCCCCCCCCCATCAAGTAGCACAAAGCAACACGTGTTGTGCATGTCTGCAAATGGTTTCCCTTTCAGGGGAATGATTTCCATCCAGGAGGGGCCGTGGGTCAGTGGCAGAGCATCTGCATGGTTTGCAGAACGTCCTAGGTTCAATTCCCAGCATCTCCAGCTAAAAAGACGAGGTAGTAGGTATTGTGAAAGACCCTTTTCGGCCTGAAACCCCGGAGAGCTGCTGCCAGTTTGAGCAGGCAGTACTGACCCTGATGGACCAAGGGATGGATTCAGAATAAGGCAGCTACATGCATGTTTGGTTGGTGTCAGGAAAAGTGGCTGTAAGGGCTGGAGGCCCATTGCAGTTACCTGATTGGAAAGGCCATCACCTGGTCCATCACCTGGTGACAGGAGGCCAGGCTGTTTGGCCCACTTGACAAGAGTGTAAGTCTGTTTCGGATGGCAGTGTCAGGTCACAGCTTTCCCTCATGCGCATATGCGTGCTCACATGCATGCATATGTATGTGCCTTCCATCCATAAATAGGTGCCCAACCACCTCGTCCTTAACGGTGACTGTATTGTGGTGTCACTGTAATCCAACAGTTTCAATTTTCTGCTCAAATACTGTAATTATACTTGTCAGGACAATTATCCTGAAATTTCCATGAGCACAAGTCTTTCCAATTTATTTTTTTGTTGTTGATGGAATAAAATTATCAGCAACTGCAGCTGTAGATTCTTGTTCAAGCTGGTCGACCAGGGTGGGAGAGGGAGACACATGCACATTAAAAATCAAAGGATTGTACCTGGTTTTAGATGTGGACTTCCAGTTTACAAAAACATGGGTTTCTGTAGAGTTTGTGTGGACATCTTAAGATCATGGTATGGGGAAGACTCTTCAGCAGCAGCGGGGTGGGTTTTGTGTCGTCTTGGTGCCAGCTTGTGCAGCATCCCGTGAGTGACTCCTCCGGTCCTGAGGGTTTCTCCTTGCTCTTTCTCCTGTTGTCCCAGGCATGCAACGAGTTCACCACCCACGTCATGAATCTACTGCGGGAGCAAAGTAGGACCCGGCCCATTTCACCCAAGGAGATCGAGCGGATGGTCAGCATCATCCACCGCAAGTTCAGCTCTATCCAGATGCAGCTCAAGCAGAGCACGTGTGAAGCAGTCATGATCCTGCGCTCCCGATTTCTCGATGCGCGGTGAGCTTTGACCTCCGGCATGTAAAAAATAGCACTCGGTTCGGTTGCCTGAGGCAAGTAAGAAGCGTCACCTCTGCAGGTGACCAAGGAGTGGATTTGTTTTGGGTTTTTTTAAATTCATTTTACTTTATTAATAGGAAAATTTTACAAAAATTAATTTATCTCATCACCATGTAATATAAAAGCTATAACAACAAATAAACTAAATAAGTAGAGAAAAGAGTGGAAAAAATTCAACACAGGACCTAACAAGGGCTTTATCCAACAAACTGGCATCTGCAGTTGGATCCATCTCAAATTATTTCTTCAATTTGAATCTTGTAGAGAACTAATTTATAAAACAAGGAACTAATTGGGTCTCAATACACTGAAATAATTTGTACATTTTTAAAAGTTCCAAAATGCAGTTTAGACACAAAAATGGTGCAAAATCAGAATAGTTATTAGAGATACGATTAGGTACAAATTTCAGCAATAAAATATTAATTTCTCATCTTTGAAAACAAGGAGTGAATGTACCTTGGGAAAGAGGTGCTTCCCTTTTTTCCCACAGTCTGTCCGTTAACAGGGTTGTATATTAGCATACTTTGTAGGCTGTAACTTTTGCAAACTTAGCAATAAGGCTGCTCTGCTTGTTTTTTGCTTTAAGAAAAGAGGCAAGTATTTCGCATTTTTAACCTGGAGTGAATTGGTGCTAAGGGGAAGTATTGCCAGCGTTGACAGGGCTAAAGATTGGTGAGCTAAATTATTGTTTTCCAGCACGAAATCAGGTATCAAACTTGGGCTGTTGTCACACACACTAAGTAATCCATTTTCAATCCACTTTCGGTGCACATTCCAACTGGATTTTGCCAGTTCACACAGTAAAATCCAGTTGGAAAATGCATTGAAAGTGGATTATTTGGTGTGTGCGACCGCAGCCTTGATCAGGAGCTTAATCATGGAGGCTAGGATTGAGATAGCAAATAAGATAGAAGGAGTCCGTTCCTCCTTAACTGATTGGATTAGGAAAGTTTAGAAGATGTTTTATAGGATGATCACTTTATATATGGTTAAATTAAATGTGAAGAAGAATGGCTTATTACTTTGAATTCATTGCACAGGAAATTAACAGCACATATGCATTATTTAGAATCTGTGTTTCGCTGGAAATGCTAATAACGCCAGCATTTTTATTTTGTGAGTTAGTCCGTTGCAGTGTCAGTTTTCCACCCATATGGCAATAAGATGAGGAGCTCAGCTGAGCAAACCCGATCAGGCAAGATCCATGTTGCAACGCTGCTTCAGCTAGAAGCAGGGGAAGCAGGAACAATGTTTGGATACAGGGGTGTGTTCCCCCCCCCCCAGCATAAACCTCTAGAGAAGACCCGCATGCTGCTTAGTTAGCAGATCAGCGGGCGATCATGCAGTGTGACCAGTCCCTGCAGTCATCACGTGATGGGGCTTTAGCTCCTACTCAGATAGCTACCAGACAAATGCCTGTGATGCCAGTGAGATTCCTGATTGTGCAGGTTCTCCCTGTTCTGGATGGGAAAAATAGGTATCTGCGTTTTGCAGAAGCCATTTTTCCTGTGCCATGTCACCCAACTGGACCCCTTGGAACATGGAAGGGACCATCAGCATCTGTTGTCACTGGAACCATAACCTTTTGCCTCTTTCTCCAGAGCCAGTAGCTAAAGACACGGACTAGGGTCATAATTCACCGTGCTTTTCAGATATGTTCCAGCTGGAATAGCTGAAATGAAAGAAAGCTTCAAAATATTGCAGGCCTGGTCTTAACGTGAATTGGTTCATAGAGTCCTAAGGTGGTCGGATGTCCCTTTCTTACAAAGACAGCCTGAAAATTTGGAACTTTTCAGCTTCGATAAAAATGGCAGAGGAGGGACATGATAAAAATTTATAAAATTATGCATGGGGTGGAGAAAGCGGAGAGAACTTTTTCTCCCTCTCCCCTAATACTAGAATTTGGGGGCACCCAAAATAGTTGATGGACAATAGATTCACTGTGGACAAGAAGAAAGACACTTTACTCAATGGATAGTTTGTTTGGCAATTTCGCTGCCAGTGGATGGAGTGATGGCCATGAGCACAGATGACTTTAAAAGGGGACTAGGCAGTTTTTTTTAGGAAGAGAGGTCCATCAATGACTACTAGCTATGATGAGGATTCCTTTAAGCAGTGGAAAGCTAGTCACAGTGAGGCTGATTAAAGGGAACACAGGCTATGGCAAATAAAATGCAAGTCTGTGGTCAGGCAGGCAAAAAGGGAATATGAGGAGCATATAGCAAAAAACGTAAAAACCAACAATAAAACTTTCTTCAAATACATTAGAAGCAGGAAGCCAGCCAGGGAGGCAGTGGGGCCCTTGAATGACCAAGGGGTAAAAGGAGTGCTGAAGGATGATAGGGAAATGGCTGAGAAGCTAAATGCATTTTTTGCCTCTGTCTTCACTGTGGAAGATGAGAGGTGCTTGCCCACTCCAGAACCACTGATTTCAGGAGGGGTGTTGAAAGACCTGAGTCAGATTGAGGTGACGAGAGAGGGGGTCCTAAAACTGATAGACAACTTAAAAACTGATAAATCACCAGGCCCAGATGGCATACATCCGAGAGTTCTGAAAGAACTCAAACGTGAACTTGTGGATCTCCTGACAAAAATATGTAATCTTTCCTTAAAATCTGCCTCCTTTCCTGAGGACGGGAAGGTAGCTAATGTCACTCCCATCTTTAAAAAGGGTTCCAGAGGAGATCCGGGAAATTACAGGCCAGTCAGTCTGACGTCGATACCGGGTAAATTGGTGGAAAACCATTATTAAGGAAAGAATTAGTAGGCACATAGATGAACAAAACCTATTGAGGCAGACTCAGCACGGTTTCTGTAAGGGAAGATCTTGTCTCACTAACCTGTTAGTGTTCTTTGAGGGGGTGAACAAACATGTGGACAAGGGGGATCCAATAGATATTATTTACCTTGACTTCCAGAAAGCTTTTGATAAAGTTCCTCATCAAAGGCTCCTAAGCAAGCTCAAAAATCATGGGATAAAAGGACAAGTCCTTTTATGGATCAAAAACTGGCTAGTTCATAGAAAACAGAGAGTGAGTGTAGGTGGGCAATTTTCTCAGTGGAGGGTGGTAAGCAGTGGGGTACCGCAGGGATCAGTACTTGGTCCACTGCTTTTTAACTTGTTCATTAATGATTTGGAGATGGGAGTAAGCAGTGAAGTGGCTAAATTTGCGGATGATACAAAGTTGTTCAAGGTGGTGGTGTGCAGTTCTGGTCACCACACCTTAAAAAAGATATTATAGCTTTGGAAAAAGTGCAGAAAAGGGCAACTCGAATGATAAAAGGGTTGGAACACTTTCCCTATGAGGAAAGGTTAAGGCGCTTAGGGCTCTTTAGCTTGGAGAAACGACGACTGAGGGGTTACATGATTGAGGTTTATAAGATTATGCATGGGAAAGAACAGGTAGAGAAAGAGGTACTTTTCTCCCTTTCTCACAATACAAGAACTCGTGGGCACTCCATGAAATTGCTGAGTGGTCGGGTTAGAACGGATAAAACGAAGTCCTTCTTCACCCAAAGAGTGATTAACACTTGGAATTCACTGCCACAGGAGGTGGCGGCAGGTACAAGCATGGACGGCTTCAAAAGGGAATTAGATAAGCATATGGAGCAGAGGTCCATCAGTGGCTATTAGCCACAAGGTATAGATAGGGACTCTGGGGCAAGTGATGCTCTGTCATCTTGGTGCTTGGGGGGGTCAACAGTTGGGAGGGCTTCTAATGGCCTGGCCCCACTGGTGGACCTCCTGATGGCACTGGTATTTCTGGCCACTGTGTGATACAGTCTGTTGGGCTGGATGGGCCTTTGGACTGATCCAACATTGGCGTTTCTTATGTTCTTATGATGAGTACATCAGTCAGCCTCTGAATTCCAGTGCTTGGAGGCAAGAACAGGGGGCGGTCCATGGCCACTGTGCCTGTTTATTTGGCCTCCCAGGCAACTGGTTGGCCACTGTGTGAAACAGGATACTGGACTAGATGGGCCACGACCCTGATCCTGCAGACTATTGCATTTTTATGTTAGCACTGCTGGCGAGATCCGCCAGGGCTTAGTTTGTGAATCTTATTTTTTTAAACATTTCCATGCTGCCTTTCCACCCGATCAGGGCCCCAAGCCAGTGACTGTGAAACATAAAAACATTTCAATTTAAAATAATAAAACAGCATTTAAAATTATAAAATAATTTGATGAAAACACATACAGACACCTGAGAGCAGAGCAGTCACCGTTACTGGGGGGGATGCAAAACGAAACAAAGCAAAGGTCTGCACCCACTGGCAGAAGAGATTGAGAGAGAGAGACGGATGAGTTTCCCGGGGGAGGGAGTACCAATGTTTTCGTGCCACGACGGAGAAGGCCCTTTTCTCTAGTTGCCACCTGTCTGGCCTCAAATGGCAAAGGCATCCAAAGCAGAGCTCCTAAAGATGACTGGAGTGAACAGGTAGGCTCATGGGTACTCCTTAAGGTAAAAGGGCTTGGCCCAGGAGGTGCAGAGAGAAAGAGAGAGAGAGCGCACACAAGATTAAGGGCAGAAAAATGGGATTGGATTTAAAAAGTTGTGTTTATGGCTGAAATGGATAAAATCACAAGAAAGCTAAACAATCAAGAGGACGAAAACTTTTTTGAAGAATGGAAAGACTTTAAACAATACTTGGAGACCAACTGGGATGTTACAAACAACTTATTGTGTTTTGAAGAGTATTAGAAATGAAGTAATCTATAGTCAAATAGATGAGGTTACCTGAGGATAAGATATAAGATATAGAATATAGTGAGTAAAAAATTAAAGTTTTAAGAAAGTGATTAACAGAAAAATAAAGATGGAATATGTTAAGAGTAAATAGATAACTGGATATAAGCATTGCGGGAAGCCAAGCAAGGGGGTGGATATGGGGGTGTAATAGAAAATGGGATATTTGAACTATTTGATAAAATGTGTGATTGTTTAAGATGGAATGTAATATCCCGATAATAAAAGTTTAAATAATAAAAAAAGATTAAGGGCTATGCCATGTATATTTATTGATTGATTTGATTTCTACCCCGCCCTTCCCGCCATAGCAGGCTCAGGGCAGCTTAGCTAAAACAGAACTAAGTAAAGTCATGACAATATAAATATAAAACATTACAAAGTGCCAGTGCTAAAAACCTGTTCACATGCAGCAGCAGGCATGAACAGCCTCCAGCAAGCAGGCAGTCACTTCCCATCGTGCATGGTCTGGGTTATATTGGCAATTGGTGTTGATATAGATGTGATTATAGATATATGAAAGTGTCTCCTAACTTTTTTGTAATGAAAAGCAGCCTTTGGAGACTTCCATCAAGAATGGGAAAATGCCCCTTGAGGAGGGGTACTAAACATTTCTCTGGCTTCTTTCCACTCCTCAAGTGTAGGAACAGCAACACAGGAAAGTCACTGTCGATCAGAAAATATTTCAGTGGGGAAAGCGCCAAGTATCCCTTCCCCCACTTCTCCAATCAGATGCCTAGCCTCTGAAGGCTGCTGTTCATTTCAAAACAAGCAAGGTTGGGAGAGAAAGTGACTTGCATCTGCAGGTCATGGAAAGTTTGGCCCTTTGGGAAGCCCCGGAGGACACTGGAAAGTTTCTTGGGTGCAATTCGTTTTAGTTCTGCTAGGGCATCATGTGGGTCGGGGAGCTGACGTGCATCTGACGACTATGGGTGTTAGTCCCTGGATCACGGATGCCAACTGTCTTTCATTTCTCCAGACGGAAGAGACGAAACTTCAACAAGCAAGCTACAGAAATCCTCAATGAGTATTTCTATTCCCACCTCAGCAACCCTTACCCCAGTGAGGAAGCCAAAGAGGAACTAGCCAAGAAATGTGGCATCACGGTCTCACAGGTAAGACCTACCACTCACTGTGATGTAGAGGTCAGACAGGTTTCTCTTTGCCTGGACCCTTTGCTGAGTGGGGAGACCCGTCCTTGAGATCTCTTGATTATGGAGACAGAAGAAATCAGCTGAAGGCTGCTGAAGTCTGTTTGCATAGGAAAGGAGGATCATACCGGCTGAAAAATGGGCAAGGAGAAGGCAGAGTGCAATCTTGTGAGGATAGGAGCAAGAAGAAGCATGAAGAAAAATCGGGTTGTTGAGAGGTTTTGGAGAGTTCATAGCTTTAACTAGTGAATTGTGTTCCATTGTACTTTGAGTAGTTGGACAAAGGGTTAATTTCCATGCCATGGGATTATATAAAGACCCAAACAAGATCAGGGCAAATGGTCCTTTCCTCGGGACTATGGTCTACAAACCATTTTCTGGGCAAGTTTCAGATCTCCAGAGAGCTTAGGGATTCCTAAATGGGAAATTCAGAAGCTTCCCCTGAAAGGCAGCTTGCCAGAGACTCACAGTCTTCCTTAGCAAAGCCCCATCACAGTGCGGCCCAGTCAGCATGGGCCCTGCAACATACCCCAGAATCTTTCATAAGATACAATGTCTGTGACAGACACAAAGGGGTTCCTTGGTAGACGATGACATGGAACTTAGAAAGTTTGGAAACAACTGAGTTGTTGATTGTTCTGTGAAGACCATGTGGTAGTGAGATGGGGAATGTCCATCTTACTGAGCTGTGTGAAGAGCAATCTATATACTAATAGCCAAGAGACCCCCTCTGTGCGGAAAACAGAAGGAGGTGTTCTGTCCAGTGACAAATATAAGAATTACAAGAAGTGGGACCCGCGATACTCGCGGGGGGGGGGAGTATTCTCCACAGCTCCCGGCCTGCGGGAGTAGGAGGAGCTCCCCCCTCCCTCCTCCAGCACCGAGGCCTGAGCGGCTCACAGCCACCAGCCGCCAAGCCTTCTCCCGCACCCCCCTCCCCAGTGGCGGTGAGGCCTGAGTGGCCCACAGCCGCTGGACTGCCAATCCTTCTCCCGCCCCCCCACCCTGGCAGCGCTGGTGGCAGGGCCGGCGGTGAGACAGTTGCCAGGGTGTTCTCTGCACATGCTCAGGGAATGCTTTTTTACTTTGGGGGGGATTTCTGAGTGTTCGTTCATTTATTTATTTATTTTATTCTGTGCTTGTCTTACAACATGATATCAACTCCTTCTTCTTTTTGTCATCATAAGATCTGATAGAGACGCTCCTCTTTTGGCACCAGATGAGACTGATGAGTTACAGCAGATCTTGAGAATCACGCTTTTTGTTTCCTACCAAGTAAATCTCCTCGGTGAGAATTGTCAGCTAGGCTTGTATCCACTTAAATAGTGACTTCATCTGTCTTAGTTAACAGGAGCGCCATCTGTCCTGTGTGCCTTGCTGTGCTTAAGAATAGGCCACACGGGACGGTCTAATTGCTTTGGTAAAGTCAAGAGCTATTCTGCTCCAGGAAGTTCTCCTGACCTCTTTGAAAGGAATGGGATTTTTGCAGAAGAATTTCCTAATGGGTTGTCGCCTCAGAATCTTGTCTGCCTGTTTAAAAAGGGATTGAAATTTGCTTACATGCAAGTTGCTCTTGAAGAATCCATATAGACCAGCAGTCTTCAGCCAGAACCACTGAGCTGCAGACATCTGACAGGACACTGCATGAAGCCAGAGTCCCGTGACCACAAGAGATTCAGGCAAAGTGATGACCTCAGTGGTGTCAGTGCGGGGACTGCGAGCAGCAGACCAAAAGAGCTGAGGGCCGGAAACCCAAGGAGGTGTTCCCAGTGTGGAGCGCAAGTCAGAGCTATGGAGAAATCCCCTTTTCCTTGAGTTGACCCCATTTTGGTGTCCTACTGATCTGCTTAGATATGCACAAAGAGAGGCATGAAGCATGATATATTTGCTGTCTGTACAGCAACAGGGTCGGCTCTGCAACTTCTTGAGTGTCCCTGACCATAGGATGAAGACTGATGATATGGACTCGTGCATCGTGTCCTGCCTCTGACGTATACGTGTTACAACGTCTTGCCAGATATGCCCAACACTCACCTCCATATTCTCAGACAATTCTGAGTCTCCAGTCTTACCGTGCAATCCTAAACAGATATACATACCCTTCTAGATCCAATTAAGTGAGTGGGTTTAGAAGGACCTAACTCTGTTTAGGATTGCATTGTCAATATCAGGGGAGGAGAATGAATGTATCTGTTGAGTGGTAAAGGGGAAAGTATTCACCATTTGCTCAGACATGTTTTTAAATACTTCAGGCACTTTTTAATACTTTAGTAACTTTCACTAAAATCAAAGTTATTCTGGTGGTTCTCCTTGAGTCCCCATTTCAGACATTCCATTGCTCACAAGAGTGCTCCATTTGCATACAATATTGTTTACAGAAGGCTGAGATTAAAGGAACTCAGTATTCAGCATTCCCCAACTCCCCTGGATCTGGCTATATCTATTCCTTCCATTCAACTTTTTGTGCCATTCCTTTCAACATAGCACTGAATTCTTGTCAGATGTTTCTGTAGCACTGAACCTGGGTCAGTGTTGGCCATAACCTTCAGAGCAAGAGGTTTGGGGACAAAAGATCAAGGCAGAAATTGAGCACATGGGCCCATCTGTTACAGCTGTCTACACTGCTTACATGGTGTGTACGTTAGGATGTGTCTTAACTTACAGTATCCATGTTCCTTAAAGAACAGGCAAATAAGTTTGTTAACTCTCCTCATAAAAGAAAAGGGGTGTATTTATCCCAGAATTCCTTCGGTGTTTTTTTTTAAATGCCCTAGAGCATACTATCTTGTCCTGTTGTTGCAGTCCACTTGAGTAATTTTTTTTAAACATCATTTTTTTTTCTTTTCAAAATAACATTCAAAGCACAGTACGCCCAAACATAGAAACAAGTAATAAAATACATAACATAAATACATACATAAATAATAAAACAATCCTAACTTAAGCCTTGAGTAATTTTGCTTTTATCCAATGCTTTCTCATTCCCATCCTTAATTTTCTTTTGACATCCAGCTGCAGATTTTGAAAACTTGGCCACTTAAGTACATAAGACTTATGAGATTGTATCTTGCTCAGCTGTTTTCCTCTCAACGCTGAAATTAATAAGTACAGACCTAGTTAAAAACAACTGCATTCAAGGTACAGTGAAATTTACAGGATACTGACTGAGAATCTTTCCTTAGTGTAACAGCAGGGGTCATTTCGTAGAAAAAGAGCTGCAGGAGCTAATGCAGCATAATATCTCATTAGCATATGCCACCCCCCTGACATCACCAGAAGGGGAAGCAAAAGGGGAGGGGGAAGGCATCTTCAAAAGCTTCCCCCTCCCTTCCCCAGCCAGCCTTTAAACCCCTTCTCACTAGAGTTGGACCACAGAAGGAGGAAAGAGGGAAGGAAAGAGAGAGATAGTAGAGAGAAGGAAAGAAGGAAGGAAAGATGGAAAGAAAGAGAAGGAAAGAAAAAAGGAAAGAGGGGATAAAAAGAGAGAAAGAAAGGAGGGAAAGAAAGAGGGCAAAGAGATGGGGAGAGGGAGGAAGGCTCTCCCACCACCCCCAACCCCGTGGATCCCTCACTTACCGTGATCAAGGCCTTCCCCAGGCTGCAGGTGCAGGTTCCAGGAAGCTGGCAACGGGCCTCCTCAGACCTCCGCCGGGCCACAGTGCTCCCAAGTTCAGATCCCCATCTTGCAGTGGAAGCTGACTGCGTGATTTTGGACCAGTCACATATTTTAGCCTAACCAACCTCAGAGGGTTGTGCACATAAAAAGGAGGAGGGAATAATGAAAGCTGCTTTGGTCCCCACTGTGGAGAAAGACTGTAAATTTCCTAGGTAGAGGCTGGGGGGTGGAGATGGAAAACAGAAGACAGAGAGGCAGATAAAGCAGATCCCTCACACGGATCCCTCACCGCAATCAAGGCCTTCCCCAGGTCACAGTGCTCAGCGACAGGCCTCCTCAGGTCTCTACCGGCTGCAGCGTTCCAGCACGGGCCCCGGGAGGCCGGCAATGGGCCTCTTCAGGCCTCCCCTGGGCCGCAGCACTTCAGTGCAGGGAGCTGGGGGCGGGGCTTGCCGCCACCGCCATTTGTGCGAGCTCCTGGGCTACAGGAGCAGTGCTCTGGCGCGCTCCGGCCCCAAATGACCGCTGTGTAGCAGGATATTTTACCATCTTATTTTAGACATTATATTTACTAGGGATGTGTACTTGAACATTAACTAATAAAATTGTGGGGTCATTATTATTGGTATTATGCCACATCTGTTTCCTAAAACTAATAACAGTTGGTAATTCCCAGAAATATTTGGAAATGTCTATTGTTCTGGTGCCCACTGATTGGTTTTTCAGAGTTACAGGTGGGCAGAATAGTGGGAGGGAGAGAATGCATTAGCAAACAGTGTAAGTGACAGGGGCATTTTCCAGTCATGCGAGTTAGCAGATCTTCCTGCCAAAGAGGATTGTGCATTTCCAGTCATCCTTGCATCATCCCACTGGCTTCAGGAAGGGCTGATTGCTTTTTTAAAAACTGTTATTCCTTACAAGCTAGCTGGGCAGTGCCATTTCCCTTCCAGTGTCAGTAGGTTCGTCTTATTGAGTCTTCTATTATGTAACAGAGAGCAGCAAGTTTCTCTCAGATTATTTGGTGGAGAATCACAAGAGGAAGTGAAAGGGAGATGGGAGGGCGGATAGATGCTCTGCACCCAAACTCCGATGCCGTGCACACACGTTGGGAGCAGGGCCCACTCATGTCAGTGGCTTCAGGGTCACTGAGAGGGGATACTAGTGGGATGCAATTCCAGGGGCCTTAAAACTGAATGTGACATGCACTTTGCTTTCATATGGAATCTTGGTGTGGAGACAAAAAAGGCTAATGCGATCTTGGGGTGTATCAAGAGAGACATAACATCCAAATCGCAAGATGTCACAGTCCCGCTGTACACCACATTGGTCAGGATGCACCTGGAGTCTC